ATATATTAAATTAAAATATATACCAATCACTATTTTTTTATTTATAATATTATCGAATTGTCCGTTGCAATCCCTTTCGGGTGAAATCAATGTTGCAAGTATCGTTTAAACGTGGCGTGGTCCATATGTCACGTCATCAAGTTAGGTAAAAATTAATTAAATAAATTAATTAAATAGATTTTTATATTTTGTGGATATGATTGTATTATTAAATTTATTTATTTTTAATTTTAAAGTAAAAAATAATAATCTTTTAATAAATATATTATATTATATATTAAATTAAAATATACATTAATCACTATTTTTTTATTTATAATATTATCGAATTGTCCCTTGCAATCCCTTTTGGGTGAAATGAACGTTGAAATTATCTCTTAAACGTGGTTCATATGTCACATCATCAAGTCAAATAAAAATTAATTAAATAAATTAATTAAATAATTTAAATAATGGTAATATAGGAGGAGAAATTTTCTCCAATTAAGTAGATAATCGCAGAAAGTTGTTAACAATAACTTAACCAAATGGGTCCCTACTCCCTAGTCTATCCTACATTTATACCTCTGGTTTTTCCATCAGACTACATCTTCTAGTTTTCAAAGTGCAATAGCCTAGAATTTTCCATCTTTTCTAAACCATGTCTTCCGCTGCATTCCAAAACACCATCTGACTTTTGTCCCTTAATAGCTACATAGTACAATCATCACTTTTCTAAGCCCCATTGCACAGACTTGCCTTCTTGCAATTTTATTGTCATACAGCATTTGCAAAAACAAGACAAAAGAACTTCTCGGTGAGATCTGCACGGACTGTATTAATTTTCTCGAACAACAACAATGGCTAGAGGTTGGTTAAATTTAAATCTTTTATTTACAGAATATATAATGCTAACAAGGAAGACATTTTGATACGAGTTAAATACCACGCAATTATGTGAGTTGCAGGTGCTTAAAGAAAAAGATAGAGATTACTTAACATTGTGCACTTATAAAAGAAATAAAAATGTCATAATTATAATATTACGTAATGTTTTAAATTTATAATATAATATGTTATTATATTTTTATTTTTTATTAAAGAATTTATTTGTAATATTACATGTATTTATTTATTTAATATTATATTATATTTTTTTAATATCATATTATGATTGAAAGTTTATAATTTATTAAATAAATTGTTATTATAGTATTGCCCAAAAAAACAAAAAAGATAAGGTATAAGTTAAGACTAAATATCTAGGAATTAATTGTTTTCTTTTATATATATGTATGTATATTGTTATGTTACTTGTATAGGAAAAAAAAAAAAGAGAGAAAATCTAATCTATTGCTAATTTGTTAGATAAATTTAGAGCATAAACAATGATGGTCTGATGGGGTTGCCACTGAAAAGATGCACGAAATGAGATGTGTAAATGCAACCATACGTATGCAGATGGAAAGACGTGTACCCTATGAATTCCTGTGAGGTATTTTAGAAGGTATGTTTTTGTTACGGTGGGGATGGAGCCTAGAGGGAAGGGAGAGGAGAGGGGTGGGATAGATTTTTTTTCTTATCATATTTTACAGCTGGTTAACGTTCTAATTATTCATTTCATTCTAGTGATAAATAGATGTCTTATTTGTTAGATTCAAAATTTAAATCTTAATAAAGGATTTTTTTTTTTAAAAAAAAGAGGGAGATGATTTTTATAATTAATTATAGTAAATTATAATATTAGTCAATTATTATAATTTAATTAGTAAAAAAATTTCAACAAACACACCCTAAATGAAATTTAATTTCTTATAGCTCATGCATTAGCCAGATATGAGATTATAGCTTTTTTTCATTTTTCATTTACAATTATAGTGTTTTTAAATTAGTTTTATATATCTTAAAATTAATTTTTTAATTTTATATTGACTTGATATATTTAAAAAAATTAATTTTTTTGAAATCTAACTTCAAGACTTAAATTTTATATATGATTTATAAAATAATATGTATTTATTAATAAATTATAATTTTATTCAAGAGTAAAATCTAAAGATTATAACAAGACTCCATTCACTACATTACAAAATAAGAAAAACCTAGGAGAAGTCTTAAGTGGTCCAAGTGATCACTTACATGTTAATAAGGAAATCTCACCCTTTCAATCCCCTTCCCTAATTTCTCATGTTCAAAGAAGGAAAAAAAAAAAACCAGCAAAGGAAAAAAACCCTTCTATCAAAAGGATAACACTGCACTAAATAGGATCGGACATTGTGGTCCAATGGTTCGCCCTCAACCCTTAGTGATTGGGTGAGATGGTGGTCAGAGTTTCGAACTTCACTACCGTTGTGAATTCTATTAAACTGTGGCCTGATGGCCGCACGCCTCATTTGAGGAGATGAAATATTTATCCAATCTAAAGAATAACTATTAACAATTAACTCACTAATTTTTTAACTATTATCCTTATAAAAAAAAAAAAAAACACTGCACTAAATAAGATAAGGTATAAACCACACAAACCAAGAAATAATTAAATAAGGAGCACTCATGAAAGAATGAATAGAAAGCAATTAAAAACCCGACAGCTGCATGGATAAAGCCATCAAATGCGGTCAGGGATATATATTTTTTTTCTTATGAACGGCGGCTCTGTATAATATCGATTATATTGTCACGCTCTTAATTATTGGTATTATATTTTTTTATTATTAAAAAATAAAAACATATAAATTTTTGAGATAAAATATAATATAAAAATATAATAAATAATTGAACTTGACTCTGTAAGTCAAGTGATTTTAGTCACTTTTGTAAAATTCATATTCTCTTCCCCAAAAACAATGGTTCGAACCAGTTTCATGACTAAAATGTTTAAAAATATATATATAATAAAAAATTACAATAAAAATATGTTATATTAATAATTTTTTATAATTAATTATACAATGAGAAGTAATTCTCTTCCATTCCTTATCTATCTCACATGCATGTCATGATCATGTAACTCAAATTTAAAATTTATTATTTCTAACGAAAAAAATTATCATTAAATTATTTATATATTGATGTAACATTAATAATTTAAAATACCATAATAACCCCACCCACTCTTTAACGTTTCTTTTATTCTTTTCGGTTAATTAATTAATGATAAATTTAAATTAGTTGAGTGAGACCCATATATTTGGATAAAATGTTAAATTGAATCCTTAATTTTCTCTTTGGTATCAGTTTTTACTATGTAGATTTTCTACATTATTTTTGTCATTAAAAATACTATAAGTATAATGTTATATAATATTATAAATTTAAAATATGATATATTATTATATAATTGATTTTTTCATTTAAAGATTCATGTATAATATTATATTATATTTATTTAATATCATCTTATAATTATAAATTTTATAAATTTAAATGAAATTAATAGTATTTTTATTATTTATGTAAAGAAAATATAAAGTTTTTCGATTAGTTAACAATTCAACTTAGCAGAAAAAACTTAATAAAGGGTTTTAAAAAGTGCAATAAAATTAAATTTTAAGGATTAAAAAAGAAAATTTTTTCAATTGAAAGACCAAATACAAAAATTGAGGGACCCAAATGAAGTTTTAGCCAATCAAGAATATCCTAATAACTCTAATGAGTAGCACAGCACGAATAGACCTTCACTGTGACTTTCCATGGTCCCCAGAAGAGAGAATTTGAGACGCCTTCCAAGAAAGAAAAAGTCTGTAATCAATGGCCCTTTTTCCTCCACGGCTTGCTGTCGTTTTCTGCCTTTTGAATTTTCATTCATTCTGCATTTAGCTTGTTGCTGCTGACCGTGCCTCGCAGTCTTTAATTATATAGTCTTTTTATTTATGAATTCTAGGAGGATTCTGTGAGCAAAGCCCCATCCTTGTAGGAGCAGAGCCGGGTGTTTTGGAGAGAGATGTGGCTGTTTAACAGGAAAGGGCCATCTGGGTTCTCCTCATCTTCCACCGCGGAGGAAGTCACTCAAGGGATTGATGGAACTGGACTCACTGCCATCGTTACAGGTCTTTCTCTATCGGGGTTGTTTCAGAACTCTTTTTTAATTTTTGAGTTGAATGACTTAACAGGATCTGGGATATTAATCTTTTTATAGTCTGATATATGGGTTGTATCTTTATTTTTTATATGAATTTGAAGAATTGAATATGTCTGGATCTGGTTGTTTTCATGTGGGGTCTGACATAGTATTGAATGAATTATGGTTTTATTTCAGGGGTTTTCTTTTTTCTGTTGGGGTTTGGCATTGTTAGAGAACAGTTAGTAGAGTAGTTGGTGTCCTGCCAAATGCAGTCATGTGGGTTCCATATTGTGATGAACTTATTAAATGATAGAAATTTGAGGAGGAAAACGGGGGTAGTTCTGATTTCTTTTCTTTCCCTCTTTCCATTTGATCATGTTGTGCCATATAAATTGTAGTCATCACAAGGTTTGTTGATTGGAAGTTGGAAATTGGTAAATTTGTCAGTAACTCTTTATCCTCTATGCTTTAAAATAATGTGCATGTTATGTTAGTTATTGCTGCTGACATGGTGTGCATGCGCTATTTCACACAGAAAATTTACTTCTGTGTTATTTGTCTGCAAAAATTTCCTGTTTTTACTAACTGGGATGTTTTCTCTCTGATGGCTGCTGTGACTATAGGAGCATCTAGTGGCATTGGCAGTGAAACTGCACGTGTTCTTGCAATGCGTGGTGTCCATGTAGTTATGGGGGTTAGGAATATGGCTGCTGGTAGGGATGTAAAAGAAGCAATTGTTAAGGAAAACCCCTCTGCTAAAGTTGATGCCATGGAGTTGGATCTTAGTTCACTGGAATCAGTTAGGAAATTTGCATCAGAATACAATTCCTCGGGTCATCCATTGAATCTCCTGATGTAAGACTAGAGTTTGAGCATTTTCAACATGTGATTGCTAGGATAGATATGTGTATATTATCATACTCATTTTCCTCTGCTGCTTAACCTTTCATACATGATAACATAATTGTATCATATCTGACTTTTTCTAAGCCTTAAAGCTACAGAAAACCACTGAAGAGTTTGATTTTTCTCTTTGTTATCAGTAATAATGCAGGAATTATGGCAACTCCTTTCAAGCTTTCCAAAGACAACATTGAACTACAGTTTGCAACAAATCACTTGGGTATGTTGCATGTGGTTTGAGGAAATCACTTGTGAATGATATTTCTGTGTTGTATCAGCATAACTTGACAGGAATGAGTGATTTTTTTAATGTATAATTATGAGCCTGTAATTTTTTAAAAGAAGTTTTAGTGTTGGTTGCTAACTCTAAATGAAGAGTAAGTTGGCTTTGTTGCTAGCATGGCATCACCAAAGTTTAGAGGAAGCAGTGGACAAAAATTTTCTGCTGCTTCTTTGGTCTATAAAATAAGGTAAAGGTGGACTAAATCCTTGAATGTTTCACAGGGCATTTTCTTTTAACAAATCTCATGTTGGATGCAATGAAGAAAACTGCAGTGAAAAGTAAACAACAAGGAAGGATTGTAAATGTCTCATCAGAGGCTCATCGATTCCCATATTCTGAGGGAATTCGCTTTGATAAGATCAATGATGAATCAGGGTAACACCATACAACTTCTCTGATTTCATAGACCTTTTGTTTAAGACCACATTTTTCTAAGTATTGACAATCCAGAACAAAGTGAAAATTGATATCTGTTCAGGATAAGTACTGGATAAATCTGGTCACTTGGGTTCCTTTTCATCTCCAAACTTGAGACTTTTTAACATTAGTCAATCTCTTTTAAGAAAGAATGGTTAGCAGTGATTTTTTTTGTTCTTTTTAATTTGGATATGTGCTTGAGGTACAAGACAGCATGTTCATGGGTTATGTTCAAATATCTCTATACAGGATTTTGGTGACATCTGATGGTCCAAAACCTGACAGTGTTGCTTGTATGTTTGATTTTGTTGACTTTATTCTTTTTTACAACTATATGATACAAAGTGGAGATGTTTGCATTCATTGTATTGTCCTTGTACTTGCTCACATACAGGTACAGCAGTTTTGCTGCTTATGGCCAATCAAAGCTTGCTAATGTTTTGCATGCCAATGAACTTGCAAGACGTTTCAAGGTATGTGAGCTTTTCACTACTAGCATCGAATGCAAAATATTTTAAATGGTAAAAGAGATTACATGTGCATTGTCAATTTTCCCTTACTGGGAATGTAGTTTATCTTTCCATTTAATGTCCATGGTGATTATTTCTTCTCAGCATCATAAAATTTAAATTTTTTTACGAAGCTAGCGATTATCCCCAATGTAAGATGATTCTTATATTTCTATTAAAAAGGTATTATTTTAGTGGATCATTCAGATATTAGCTTGGTTACTATATATTACTGAACTACCCCATATTCTATAGCCTCCTCTATCTTATCAACTGGCTTTTGAGATCCTCTTTCATATTGCAGCCATTCCCTCTACTTATCTTTCCTTTGATGTTATTCTTTCCTGCACTTGAGTTGCACTGTTGACAGCATTAAATTTAGACATGTTTGCATGTGTGTGGACGGGTACATCGTGCTATTTCTGTTATAGATGATAGGTTTTTCTTGCTATGTAAAATCTGCATGACGTTAATTTCTTTGTGCAGGAAGAGGGAGTTGATATAACTGCGAATTCACTTCATCCAGGAGCTATTGTTACCAATCTTTTCCGTCATATGGGAATCATTAACGGTAATCATTCAAGTATTTGATGTTATGACTGAGATTTCCTAGATTGGATTGGCCAAGCAGGGATAATTTATCTTTACTTGTCAAAGGAAGCTTTGTGGACAATTTGTTCTTCTGAGCAATTTCAAATTCTTGACACAAAAAACTGCCTTGTAGATGGCATGCAATTCACTTTATTTCCCTTGGCTTGATGCAGGCCTTGTTAATAAAATTGGTAAATTGGCACTCAAAGATGTCCATCAGGTAAGCTGTTGTAACTTTCAGATGCATTATTCTCGTTCATACCTTGACAAAAAATGAGTTTGCCAGAATGCATGAATATGTTTGCTGCTTTTCATTTAGAGTTTGAGAACATGAATCTGTTCCTCATCTGATCACAGGGAGCTGCTACAACATGCTATGTAGCATTGCATCCACAAGTCAATGGGGTTTCTGGTGAATATTTCAAGGACAGTAATATTGGGCAAGCAACTGTGAAGGGCCGGGATCCCGAGTTGGCTAAGAAACTCTGGGATTTCAGCATGAATATGGTTAAATGATCTAGTCAGAATGTTTTGGTTGTTGCTCTTTCTACAGAAGAAAGGAAAAAAAAAAGGGGGGATAGTAACATGGTATATAGTTTACTTGAGCTACCTTTGAAAGTTATTATAAAAGGATATGGTGTCAAGAGTTTGAAACACAGTTCTCTCGGACCTGAAAGAGTGTCAACCCTTGGACTACCCCCCTTCATTAATAAGGAAAGACCCCCTCATCTCTGTTATTCGTAACAATAAATGCTTCTTGTTATTTTTTTTATTTTTTATTTTTTGAACAAATTCGTAAAGGATCGGATTCGAACCGTGGCTCTTGCGGTGGAGGAATGCCCTTATTGGTGGCCTGACGTCATTGAGCCCGAAGGTCCAAGTGCAAATGCTTCTTGTTATTTGTCTCTGTATGTTTAAATTCTATTAATAAATATTAAAATTCTCATATAAATTTCGGCTGAGTAATAAAAGTAGTAGTAGTAGTAGGAAGGGATATTAGATTATTAGTTATATTAATCTACAATAGGAATAATTCCATTTTCTGGAAACCCATAACCACTCCATAATTTAATTGACGCTTAAACTCTTAATTAGTAGCAATATTGTAGAATGCACCAGGCGATGGTGGGTGCCACCACTTGGTGCAGATGCAATACTAGGCATTACGCAAGTGCTTTAGATGTTTTTCTATTTTGACAAAAAAAAAAATTGAAATTAATAAAAAAAAAATTTTTTTGGATAAAAAATGAAGAAATATATTAAATAATAAGAAAATATAGTAAAATCTCCATCACAAGACATATAGCCTAAAGCATGATAGCCTAAAAATAGAATCATAAGCATAACCTACAGCTATGTCTATGATGAATATAGACAATTAAGTAAAGAGAGTTATTTGCAACTAGAGATTGCAATTGCAATCATTATATGAGTTAAATAGGGCTACTAATGTAAAAAAAAGAGTCACTATGAGCATTAGAAGCTACTAGACGTTTTCATCTAGTTAACCAGGTTCATGGGGAGAGCAAAGGATCTCGGCAACAAACAATCCCCAAACTATAGGTTGCCATTCAATCTATTCTTAAAAAATAATTGACAAGAGATGGACCATTGTCCTCCTTTGTGCAATCACAAGATACCCCATTCATTTGCAAGTGCTCCCAAACATGTTCTGAACTTTTCCAATTCTTTTCAAGCCCTTGCTACCATAAGTTATTAAGGGAACTAGAGCCCCTTTGCCAACTTGAATACCATAGTTCCCTTGTAGAACACCATCAGCTTCCCCCACAGCATGTAAATTTGATCCTCCACACCAAAAGCCACCTATGGCCCCCCACGCATAGCCCAACCGAAATATGAGATTGCCCTTCTCCTTTTCTAATTTGCTCAAGATATCAGTGATGTCACCTAAATGCATCTAGGGCAGAGGAGAAACTGTCTTGGGTGATTTGAGAAGGGTCCATGACTCCTCCCTACAAGCAGTTTCTAGTTGGCCAAAAAACCTTGTTAATTGCCATTGACAACCACTCGAATCTATTATTTCAAGATCTATGTGATATGGCGAGAAAAAGGAAACTTGAAGGTTAAACACATCATTCCAGAACAAAGTCAAGCCACCCCCTCTCTCTACACAATCACTTTCAGAACAATGAGCCAACCCTAAATCTATTCGGAACAAATTCATCTCCATCCCCATTTGCTTTGTTGTAAGGAGCAAGACAAAATTAGGCTTTTGTTGGAGGCATAATAGGTTTAGCTCAAAGATCATGTAAGCCTCTTCAAGATTGCGATAATTCCAGGCCAACATACACGGTTGAGCCATGGAAGGAAAAAAAAGAAAAACAAGAGGAGAAGCCCTTCAAAACAAGGAGTAGTGCCTAAGCAAGGAGCTCGCCTGTTTAGAGGAAACCCTAGTGGGGCGAGAGATAATTAACTTGTAATAAATTTTTTTTTAAAATAAAAAAATATTATAAAATATAGTATGAAAGTAGCGAAATAATAAAATTTTTTGTAGTGAATTTCTTCTTATTTAATCATGAATGAAAGGAAATATGAAGTCATATAAATAATTAAATAAGATAAAGTAGAATTATGAATAATATTTAAGTGAAGTTATGAATATACTTAAATAGAGTTATGAGTGGAGTTAAATGTAACATTGAATGGAGTAATTAGAAATAAGTTAGAAATGAAAGAAGATGAAGACGAAGGGGAAAACACGGGTTCCACCAAGGTGAAAGCCCTACCGGACTGAACAAATCAACAATTCTTCATTGATTTCAACACAAATAATCCAATAGGAAAATTAGAAATGACAGGCCGACTAACTTAGAAATTATTTTTTGGGTTCTCCTTTTGAAGTTGTGATTTTTGTCTTGATATTTATGTGTTTTATAAGAAGAATTATATATTAAAAATATAATTTATATTATAAATTTTTTAATAAAATAATATAAAAAATAAATTTTTAAAAAATATTTTAAAAAATTTATAAAATAAACTATAAATTTGGATATCCAATCCCCCCCCCCAAAAAAAAAAAAAAAAGGTTATTTGTGTAAAAATGCTTTAAGTTTGAGGGCTCAGGAGCCGGCCATCCCAATGACAATCCTATCATGGAATTTGGTTTTGATGACAGAAACGATTAAATTCTGCTGTTTCTGTGTTTCATATTCCCCAAACTGAGAGAAACTAGACGGAAGATGTGGTTTTTTAGCAAGAATGGACCGTCTGGTTTCTCAGCTTCTTCTACAGCAGAAGAAGTTACTCAAGGAACAGATGGGACTGGTCTCACTGCCATTGTTACAGGTAATCTTCTCATCTCACCCAAAAAGTGAGGAACTTGGATGGATTTTCCCCATCTTTTGCCTAACTGGGTTCGAGTATTTTGTTTTTATCTGTTGGATTGGGTGGTTGGAGATGATGAACAAATGCCATATTTCATCTGGGTATGTCTGAAATGGGAGTTCCGTTTAATGTTAGTTGTTCATAATTTGGAAAGGTATAGGTAATCCAATTCAGGTGCTGGAGATTAGTATTACTGTGTTTTGCAAAATCTGGAATAGGGGATGGACATTCAGTGTTTGTGAATATTCCTCAATGAACATGTTGCCCGTTGAGGAATGTATCTGAAACAGAAGAGCCGTGGAGTTGTTGTTGATTTTCAACAAGGGGTAGGCTTAGATTATAGCATCTTATGCAAGTTAAAACGAGGGTTGCAATTTGTAAAGTGCATATGTTTCAGTTTTCTGTTGTTTTTGTTGCTACTGCTGCAGGAGCATCCAGTGGTATTGGCACTGAAACTGCACGGGTTCTTGCATTGCGGGGTGTCCATGTAGTTATGGGGGTCAGAAATATGGCTACCGGAAGGGAAGTCAAAGAAGCAATAATCAAAGAAATCCCCACTGCAAAAGTTGATGCAATGGAGTTGAATCTAAGTTCAATGGCATCAGTGAGGAAATTTGCTGAGGAGTTTAAATCCTCTGGTCTTCCTCTGAACCTCCTCATGTAAGGCAACTCGAAACAACAGGATAAGTGCCAACAGTTCCATGTTTTGTGAACTTTGCATCCCTCTTCTTCTTAATGGTATCTTTAGCTTCTTGAGAAGAGTTGCTAATGTTTTTACCTTTGATATATACCCCAAGTAACAATGCAGGAATTATGGCTACACCATTCTTGCTTTCTGAAGACAGTATTGAATTGCAATTTGCAACAAACCACATGGGTAAAGCACCAATTTGGATGAAGTTTAGTGAGAAAGAGATATTACTCAAAGCTATATCAATAGCAAGATGAGAAAGAAAAAGTTATTTGTTTCATGAAGGCATTCTAAAGAAAGAGTTATTTGTTTCATAAAGGCATTCTAAAGCATCCTGAGAGTAACAATACTCCTATTCTCTTTTATCAGGTCATTTTCTTTTAACAAATGAGTTGTTGGAAATGATGAAGAAAACGGCACTTTTAAGTAAGAAAGAAGGAAGGATTGTGAATGTTTCTTCACGCCGTCACAAGTTCTCATATCCAGAAGGGATTCGTTTTGACAAAATCAACGAACAATCAGGGTAAGAGTATCTACAAGCATTCCAAAATTGCATTATTCACTTTATTGTATCATGTTGCATGTTTACCAAATTTGGCTGGGAATATCAGGCATTTAGTCTTTTGTGGAAGAAAACGTGGTTTTATCCTAACTTCTTTGTGGACTTGATAACAAGCAGGTACAACAGACTATCTGCATACGGTCAGTCAAAGCTTGCTAATGTCTTGCATGCTAAAGAACTTGCAAAACGTCTCAAGGTATTCAAAGCTGTGAACTTTATTTTGTTTCTTTTTAGTTTTATGAATTATGTTCTAATCAGAACTTTTACAATATGTTCCTTGCTTGCAAATCACATTAGGAAATAACATTTATTATTGTTGTTGTCAATGCTGTTATACAAACTTGCAGCAAAATATTTAACATATGGTCTGTAAACAGGAAGATGGAGTGGAGATAACTGCAAATTCAGTCCACCCGGGTGCAGTTGCAACCAATCTTTTTCGTAATTTTGGCTTGGCAAATGGTATTAATTTACCATCCTACTCTGCTTCTTTTAGAATTTTGCATATATTAAAGAACTGAAAATTTGTCATCTCTCTGAAATTCTGCCTCTACACATTATAACTGATGAAAGCTGTGAGAGCAAAGCTAGGGTTCATGGCTTACCACACAAGTGAAAATTCTATAGTTCAGATGATGATCTGTTTTTGCCATGCGAATATGCAATTAAACATCATCCTAACATATGAATGCTCTTTTTTTGAATTAACCATCCTAATATGAATTCTCTTATATGTATATGGCCTCCCTGTTTTGCAGGTCTTGTTAGTCTTTTTGGCAAATTTGTGATAAAAACTATGGAGCAGGTAATTTCATATTTAGGAACAAAATATACTTGGTAACATTATCCTCTATGTTCTTCAAGGGTTGCCGTAATACAGGTTAATGAGATTTTGAGCTAGAGGTTTTAAGTTAAAATCTTACTGAGGGTGGAGAAGGGTGTGCCTCGTTCTTTAACACTTGCCCCTTGAGGGGGCCCGTACTCCATCCAGCAGTGAAATAATGATGTTTATATGATTTTGGATGTAGGGGGCGGCAACTACATGCTATGTGGCACTGCACCCACAAGTTAAAGGAAAGAGTGGCCTCTACTTTGCAGATTGCAACGTTGTTGAAGTAAGTGAACAAGCTAATGACACTAACTTGGCGAAGAAACTCTGGGATTTCAGCTTGAGTTTGGTCAGCAAACGTCCTAACACTCCATAGACTTCATCCTCTTCTATTTCGTACTGTAAATCGCCTTTTTCTGTTTACAGACATTCATGGACGTAAAACAATCTCTGTAGATGCCGCATTGTGTTAGTGCAGTTTATTTTCTCAAGTCGACTTCACCCCTCCTTCCCTGTCTATACTTCCTATTTTCTAAAGAAAGTCTTCAACAGTGAATCATTCCTGGTCTGCTACGTCTCCTTAACATCTAATCCAAAATATGTTTTAAAATTCTTGATGTTTCAAAACAAAGCCAAGCAAAAATCAGGAAATGAAGGATTGTGGAACTAGATTTGTTCAATTTTCTCAAATGGAATAATGTACATATAATAATCAGGTAGAGCGACTGAGCTGAAGCATGCTGTCCCAAGAAACGGGAGGCAATGCACAGCAACATCTGTACAGTACTTTTGAACCTGCTCCAAAAATAGTCCAGAAGCTAGTAATTGTCCAACTTTATCATTTCCTTGCTTTTGTGTGATGATCTTGAAAAATATACAATTCTCACAGATATAGCTCCTTCAGGAACTGCCGCATGTCAGACCACATCAGAATCATACTCAACCTAGCAACAAACTATTGATTCCATTGGTTCAGTCAAGAATTAGTTAAAGATTTCAAACTCAGCTCTGTACAAATCCATGCCGTGTCATGGTGACAGCAAATTTCTTATTTGCCACGAAGTGAGCTTTCATTTGGATAAGTTGGTTTGGTGAAACATCTAACCAGAATCAGTTGCAGTCCAATGGCCTAGCATCATCATTTTTGGGTCAGCATGCTGGAAGCCTGAGGTCCAAGCAACAGCATTTCACCTGTCAGCCACAGGCAACCATACTTCCCCAAGCTTCAATCCTTCAGCCTTATTTCACCAAAAAAATTCTTGACAACCTTGAGATATGCTCTGACAGGTCAATCAACAAAAGTGCAAAAGTCAGACACCACTGTTCCAGCTAGGCAAGGGTGACTTGGAACTTTGATTCAGGGATTGATTCATCTTCATATGATCCCTGAGAAGTTGTTGAGACACACGATCAGCCAATACAGACTGTCCATCATAAGATTCCCCTTGTGCAGGCCTTCCAAGCTGTTTTCCTAGAATATCATTTTCTGAGGGCACAAGTTCAGAAAAGATGTGAGACCCTGGCTGCATCCCTCGAAAAATGTCAGTATTTGAATCATGATATGAAAAGCCACTAACATAGAGACCATTCGACGGTTTTGGCATGCTTCCAAGATTTTCTTGCAAATAAGGTGACTGTTTCAAATTACTAAAAGGTATAGCACCACTGCCACCAGTGAGAGGCGTGGACGAGCCTGAAGTAGCGTGGGGGCTAGATATTGGAGAAGAAGACATTCTTCCATTCAGATGTTGGGGTGATCTTGAATGCAAAAGAGGGCTTCCTATTGGTGAAACTGGGCAAGATATGTTCCTTGGAATATGGAGATCACTGTTGATCAGGGAACTAAAATCAGACCCAAAGCATATATTGTCAACAATAGTGATTGGCATTGTGAGCACATGCATGCCTTGCCTGTGTGTGTTTTTGTCACAGAGAGAGAGAGAGAGAGAGACCTGGCATATGATTTTGAAACTCTAGATGAATGAACTGCAAGTCGCTCTATTTCCAAGGAGGGAAAATTTCTTGCTTGTCCAATGCCCTGAAACAGAACAACATGAGAAGGTTAACATGGAAAATAGAAATGGATTAATTATCAGAATAAACTGCTGATGAAAACTAATACAACTGATAGGCGAACAACAAAACTACCAGAGCTTTAACTCCATTTGTAACACTGGAGGGTGGATCTGAAGGCTCAAGGTTCAGGATAGGCCTTTCCAGAGTTGCAGCACCTTTCACAAAAGGGTGATCCAAAAGCTTAGCTGCTGCAGGACGACGTTGTGGGTCACGTTGCAAACATTGCCTCACAAAGTCCTTCCCCTCTTCAGAGAGGTGATCTGGAATTGCTGGGAGTTCCTTACTATTCCCAATCTTAAACATGGCAGCAACCTTTAAACCATAATAACATGAACATATCAAATGAAAAGAAAACAAAAAGAATTTAAAATGTCTAGAACTTCATAACATAACTAAAACAGCTGGATTATTGATCTGAGTGACTAAAACAAGCAAGAAATTGAGGTACTCTATCTTCCTATCTGAAAAACTGACCCCTTCATACTGACTCCAAGGAGGTTTTGTTGTAGCCATCTCCAAAACAGTGCATCCAAGACTCCAAATATCCACAGCAAGGTTGCAACCATTTGAGTTCTTAATAACCTGCACAATTAATAAAACAAGAGAATCAGCCATAAGGCCACAAAGCACATAATGATTAAGCAGGAAAGCCATGAAAAGGCAATTTCTCTAACCTCAGGTGCCATCCAGTAAGGGCTTCCTTTGAATGAAAGTGGGCATGACTGCCCAGCAATCTGCAAAGCATACATAAAATATGTCAGGCAACCATGCTTCAGAAAAGAGTTGATCATCTAACCATACTGCAGCAAGTTAGCCAAGTTCTACAAGGGCTTAATTGGACAAAACAAATTTGAAAGCAGCAGCTAAGCTTAATAAAAATAAAAGAATCAGCCAAGCTAAGCTTGTCCAATAAATTACTAGGGGCTGAATTGTACCTTTGTGACAAAAGTTGAGTGGATTAGTGTGTTTGCCTTAAATAATTGCATAGTTTGCTTTCAAAAACATGGGCTGGGTTTCATTTGATCTAATTAAATTCATTAACAGAGACATGATTACATATACACTTACATGCTTTGCCATGCCAAAGTCTGCCAACTTAACCTTTCCATTTGGATCTACAAGAATATTTGCTCCTTTAATATCTCTTCAAAAGAAAAATACGTTAGGAATATGAACAGGAATTGATAGATTTATATTAGCAGATAGCTATTGTGGATTTCAACAAATCAGATGAAGATATGCAACATAATTCACCTATGAACAGTAGATTTAGAATGCAAGAAGGCAAGCCCTGACAAGATCTGCATGGTGTAACTTCGTATTGCCAGTTCACCTAGCTGTCCATAGTCCTGGAGAATTTTGTAAATAGATCCACCAGATACATACTCAAGGTATATATAAAGACTATCACCAACCTGTTCAACACATAATTCAAAAGGTTCTGTGAGTTTAGTTCCTCTCCACTTTTGTTTTAAATATAAGTACTCATACTACCAAGCTATAATTCTTCCCAGTCGTTAAGTAACCCTAGGCTTATTGCAAAAAAATTTATAATTTGTGGCCCTTAATTTAGATTACAATAATCAACACTTACAAAAGATAACTCTAAATGGAGTTTTTAATCACAATAACCACAACTTTAGATTCAACAGAAGCATGTTGAACAAGGGATTTAGCAGATATAGGACATACCATTTCAGATCCATAGTATCGTACAATATTTGGATGCCTTAAGCGGCTCAGCATAGCAATTTCCTGTCAAGGCACCAAGAGTATGAAATTTTTTCATAGTGTGTCAAAGTAAAGAAAAGGAACAGTAGCAAATAGCTTCAGTTCACAAAGGAAGCAAGATAAAAGTTACAAGAATATGACAAACATTTAAAAATAAATAAATAAATAAAGATGACAAACTTTTGTTAAAAGTGCTTACCTGCATCAATTGCTTAGCACTTTCTTTTGACTTGGCATCATCCGAAAATAAGGTGACCTCCTTCATTGCACACATTTCACCACTTTCACTGAATTGTTTGAAAAATGAGATCCAGTTAATGACCAATATTTCAAAACACCAGACAAACAGAAAACAGCAGATTGTGCTTAGTTCTATTTCAGTCAACATGTAAGAGACAGTAAGGATCAAAATAACTGAGAAATCAAGAAAACTGAAAAACATGTCAATTACTCAGCAAAAGTGTGGACCAGTAACTTTTGAAGACATAAACTAGTATCTAGTAGTAAGAATGAAAATAATTAAGAAGACATCGATCATGTCTGAATTCTGGTATTATACCTGTTGAAACCAACATAAACATCTCCAAATGTGCCTCTACCCAGACGCCTTCCCTTTTTCCAGCGTGAGCCAGGGCTTGTTGGATTCTCTGCCCTTCCTGGACTTCGTGGCACAGATGGGGATGTTGCCGCTGAATTTGAATGGGAGAAATGAGAAGGATTGGAAATTGTTACAGGTGGAAGCGGCAACCTGTGGCTTTGTTTTCCATCATCAGGCCAACTAGTCAGTGACTCAGTGGTCATGCCACCTGCTGACCTAGGATGAGTAGGTGTGACAGCACCACTATGTATTCTAGAGCTAGGACCAGGACTAGTCATCCGGGGACTTGGTATGGGAGAACGCTCAGGACTCCCCCTGCTTGGTTGCCAAAATAACTGTCCTGACATATCTCCTCCCATCGAATTATGCCCAGAGTTGCAACCTGAACCAGGACTAGAACAGTGGCCAGATCCAAGGAAAGTGACATCTGAAGAAGGCTTCCCTGCACAAAAAGCAGAGTTCACAACTTGCTCAGTGCCAAAACCTCTCATTGGACTTCTGGAGGGACTTGACATGTAGCTATCTGGAGTACTGCAGAAAGCGCCATTACATGGAACCTGTAGATTTGGCACATGACTGCCTAAAGGTCTCTGTTTTGGTGATGTACTTAAGAGGTGATTGGTGAATGAAATGTTAGGTGGTTTCTTAGCTTCTCTTGAGTTAAGTTGGACAGCACTGGAAGACTGAACCTTAAGCATCAAACTTCAACAAAGAAAAGAACAAATTTTGTCAGGGATGAGTAAAATATCAAATGGAACACATAAGGTAAAATTTTTAATAATGATAGTAATAATAAGATGCAAAAGACACTAACAAACATGTTCATCCAAGAACATCTCCCTCAGTTGGAGCATAATGGTAAATGGGAAGCAAGCAGGGCTCACCTTGAAGGACTGCTTGCAGCAGTTCTAGCCCCATTGTCATAATCAGTTGCTTGGGGACTTCGATAGCACGAGTCAACAGGATCATCACTATCGGTGGAAATCTCACTTGAAACTGAAGCAGGAACCAAATCTCCATCTAAGTCACAAGGATTTGGCCTCTGTCGAATGCATGCTGGTCTTGGGAGAGGCCGAAATAATGATAACCTGGAGCTCTTCTCCTGTCTAGGTTTTGTAGGTACGCTAACTGCAGAATCTGTGCGACCCACAATTGCAGGTTGCAAGTGAGGAAGGGGAAGAGGTTGAGCATGAGGCCCTTCAGAAAAACTTTGACACCTAGATACTTGTTTGGAAGGTGAAGGAGATCTTGATTGTAATTGGGATTGGGATCCCAACTCAGAAACTGTGTCACTGCAACGTCTTCGAGATACTCCTGATCTACTAGTGAGTTTATTTTCAGATGGAATCTTAAATTTTCGGTGGAAGGTATCAATGAAACTTTCCTTGCTTGCCTTCTTCTTCACTTCTTTGGATGATGTCCTCCCCCACCATGAAGGCATGTTTCCAGTTTCTAAGATCTACAGAATCAGTTGGCAAGTTTCTCTGAAGTATTGACCATAATACAACCATACATTGTGTAATTAATCAGATGTTCAACTCATCCAGGCTGAGACCCTGAGACCAAAATAAGACTAAACTCTTTAATACAAAAGGGACATTCATGGTAGAGGAACATTCAGAAATTCTGAATTGTGAGGCAGACCCACATATGCTTGTGCTTCACAACTAACCACAAAACTCAAAATCTGCAGATATGGAACCATTAAATGGGAGGAGAGGAAGCAGGAATCTGCATTCTTAGTATTCTTCAGATTAAATGGTTAACAAACACTAAAAGTCATATTTACACTCAAAAATGATTTTCAAAGTAAAGTGCTCAATAAAGCGTTTCTTTTTATATAAACATAAATGCATTAGTTGATTCACACATGTCTATCTGCATCTAGCAATTAAAATATACGTTTCAAAACCCATGGTGCAAATCCTAAATCAAATATTGTACATTGGGATCTAACTTCCCAGGATGCAAACCATCAGAAAGATCATTAAAAAGGGGCAAAATGCATCTCCAAGTGATCAAAAAGCAGAGGTGGAGCCAACCAATCAGGAAAAAGATTAGCTTCTCCATGCCTGTGAGACCAAGGAATCCCACCACCAAAAAAGCAACTTATTTACCACAAACAAACACTAAATTTTATTAGAGAAATCTGACTCCTTCACACACATGCATAAACACCCTAAATACACCGAACTGGTCAAAGTTAAAACTGGCCTCCAATCCAAATCTAAACTGGTTTCTTAGTTCCCAGATACTCCCTAGTCCCTTGAGACTCCAAAGTTCCTAATTCTTCTCACCGATTCACTGCCACTTCATTAAACACCCGAAACCCAAAAATGACTCCATTTTACTCCAGTGATGCAAAAATCACATCTTTATCTGCAAGCCAGCATCATTCCAATTAAAAAAACCAAACCCAGTTTTGATCGTTCAAAGCATGACTCAACAGTAACAAACCCAGTACTAGTACGTTCATTCCTCCCCTCAATTTACTTCAAAACCAAACAAAAGATAACGATCCCGAATTGCCCAAAAACGCAACCTTTAAACAGATCTACGAACAGAATGCAAAATATGGAAACCAGTAACGACCACCGGAATTACCTAACGAACAATGAGTTACTGAAATTAGTCAAAATTAGCTGCAGGAAACAGAAACTTACTTCACATACTTGGAGGAGTGAAATCTGAAGCAGGAACGCTGACTCAATCAACAGAAATAGAACATGTAAATCGTCCGATTACCGTGTCATCAGCAAGAAATTGAAAATGAAAACCCTAGAAATCTCTGAGATTTCTAGGAATGGTAGAAGGAAGATTGGTGCTTGATCGCGTTAAGGGTAGAGAAAGAGAGAAAGATTTGATGCAAAATGCAGAGAGAGAAAGATTTGTCTGAAGCTCAAACATGGATTTGTCTGCTCCTTCGTTTTAGAATAAATAAATTTACAATAATATGATTAAATGATTAATTAATACATTAAAATAAAAACCGAAAATGTGAGAAAATTAACAGTAAAACAGTAATTTCTCTACCCCACATTGGAAAATAATTTCATATCTTTCCTCCGATTTTTAATAGAATGATTTTTTTTTCCTAAATGAATGATCCTACCTCATCTATTTTGTTGAGGATTTGAATATAAAATTTTTTATTATACTCAAAAAAATTATTATTTACTCACTTTTAGAACCCTACACCAATCAAAATTAACATAAAAGTCTTTTACAAGAAAGAAGTAGTGAAAAAACCACAAAGATGTTTTAAAAATTTTTTTTTTTTTTTTGATTCTATGAACTTTTAAATTTTTGGTTGAATTGATACAGCAAATACTAAATCCTTTAGTTTCTAAGTATAAACATAGTAATAGATAGACTTATTATTTTTTGAACAAATTCATAAAATGTTGAATTCGAACCGTTACTAAAAAAAAATACACTTATATATGACCTGACGTAAGTACGTCAACGTCGCTCTCGAAGGCCCAAGTGCAACAGATAGACCTATTACATTGTACTTTTTTAATATGATTGATATCACCCTTTACAACTTAGTTAATCCATGCTAATGAACTCTACTGCTTCTAATTTTTCTTGTAGGGAGTGAAGTAGTAAAAATTAATTTTTTAGTTACACCCTTAATTTTTTATGTGCTACTATATGGTGTAGTAACATTTTTAAAGAAATTTGAAGTTTGATTTTCAAGGTCAATGGGCATTTTTCTATTTTAAAATTTAATTTTGGGAGTCTAGCAACCTAGAAAGCTGCATTTAGTATGGACTTTCCCACGATTTTACACTGGAAGCCTAGCTGACTTGAAATTCCGGAGGCATAATTTGACTTTCTGGCGTCCATTGTCAATGCCTTAATAAATTTAATAAATTGATTTTGAGAGTTCATAAATGGTAGAGTTAAAAACGATAAAAATATAAATGTGTTCTCTATCCCTATGCGGGACTAGGTAAATGTCGTTTTCCTGGGGGAATGTACTTTTTAAACTATTCTCGAAAGATTATTAAAATATGTATTAAAAAAATCATATTTTACTTTTTAATTAAATAACAAAAAATTAATTTTATAATTAAATATATTAAATTATAAAATATAAATTTTTAGATTAAAAAATAAACTTTCTCATATTTAAAGTCTTTTTTTTATTCAGGAGTTTTTATTTCTTAACATAATATAATTTAAACGATAAAATAAAATTGTTTTAAAAAATAAAAAATATATTGTAATTTAAATTATATTAATTTATAAAGTATTAAGACTTTAATAACAAATACAAATTCATGTGTATTTAATAATTATTATTTTACCATATGATGTATTCAAATTGTAAAAAAATCACACTTGATTTTTAATATATTTAATAATAATAAATTATATAAAAAGAAATATTAACTATTTGTAAGTATGAATGAAAAAAATTCAGTTTCTTTTAAATAAAATCTTAAATTCGAATTTTATAAATGGAGAAACAAATACTGATAGAACTTTCTTTAATAGGATATGATATGACTTAATTTTAGATTAATTAAGATTAAATATAGTTATTAGATACCAAAAAATTAATAAAAAAATTCAATAAGAAATAATCTTTCATTTTTTCTAAATCTCCCCCTAAATAACTTAAAATTTAAATTTAAAATTTTTAACATAAAATCTCAACCATTAAATTATCACTTTGGGTAAATCACATCCGTTAAACATGTTCTTAATGACATTAATAACATAGAAACATATATTAAAACCCATGTGAACATAGAAAGGCAGGGCGGACATGAGACATGAAACATGGCCCAACCCAGACGCTGGGGAAGCGAAAGGAAGGGAAGGGGGGATGTATGTGGCGGCAAGTTAAATGGCCCCACCACCACTATCACCGCCGCACGTGGCCGTGGCCCTCCACGATTCTCTATCTTATCATGATTGTTGGCAACTTGACATTGGTGCATCTATCTGCGGCGCCTTTTTACCCAAAAAGAAAGAGAAATATGTGTCGAATCGCAGCTTGCATTTGGTGGTGATTGATGCTGAGTGTAACTTTTATTTTTAAAGGTAGATTTAAAAGAAAAAATCTATCTGCTGTTGGTAGGGGCAGGCAAATCTCAAACCAAAACCGAGATTTAATTAACTAAAAATCTTTAGTTGGCCTATCAAAAAGAAAAAAAAAAAATTTTTTTTGTTGGAATTTTTGAGACCAAAATCAAAGTAACCAATATAGTATCAACATATATATCATATTAGTTTTATTTTTGTAACTGTATGTATTATATATCGAAATTTTTTATGTATTGTTTTGAATTTATCATTATAAATATATATTTTTATAAATTAAATATCAAATTTTAAAATAATAGGAAGAGAAATTAATGTTTAAAATATTATATTCTTATAAATTGAAAATAAATTTAAAATAATTAACTTTATAAAATATTTATAATTTTTTTAACATCAAGATAATATTAAAAAGTATAATAGTATTTTGAATTTAATATTATATAATTTGTATTATAAGTATTTCCACAAGATAAGGAATCATGTTTTTTAAGTACAAAGAGAATGCAAAAGACAAATCAAAACATTAGTGAGAAGAGAGAGCAATAATTGGTAAGTATTAAGAATTAAAAATTTGAATTGAAATTGTCGAAAAGAACTAAAAATACATGTTTTTAGTCTTCAATTTTTAATATATGTAGATTTTTTTGTCCCTCTACTTTAAGTTAAGTGATTAAAAATGTGCATATTTAGATAAATTTAATAAAATAATTAATAAAATGACTAAAAATATATTTTTTTTTATAATTGATGGATAAAAAAATATATAAACAAATTAAAAAATAAAAATTATGTAAAATATTAAAGTTGAAGACCAAAAATTGAATTTACCCTTTTTAAATTTATTGTGATTTGTACCAACGAAAGTATACAAAATATTAATTGGTATACCAAAATTTAATCGAAATAGGTGAAATTTGACCAAATAAGAATTGAACTTTGTATCATCTTGGCTTAATAAAAAAATTAATACATACTGCCCAAATCGGCCAGTACAAAAACGGAATCAACTACTTTGCCAAAATCAATATCAAAACACATATTATCTTTTGGTTCGGTTAA